AAATATGAACCGAATGCACAGACTTGTAACTATTACTATATTTTCTGTGAAGTGACATGCTAGATAAAGATTCATTTCAAATTTGATCACCAAAACAGTTAAAAAAGGGACAAGAGCAACAAAATTGTAAAAGTGGCAAAAACAAACAAACAAAAAAACAATACAACAAATAAAAATGTGAAAATTTAAATGACTTGCAGTATATGTCATTACTTCAGATGATAAAATTATAAAGAATGATTTAATAAAGAAACATAAATAATCAAAAATCTCTGTCACTATTTTTCAAGGGTCCCTGAGGTCACTAAGTGGGAGTTTCTTGTTTTGTGGGAGGAGTTTGCCCAAGACATGATTGGTCTGTTTAAATTTTGTAGGAGGAGTTTTTTAAAGATGTGATGGGTTGGATTGAATACTTTGGGTGGGCTTTGAAGAAAAAGGCCAAAACAATTCTGTTGGATGAAAGGTGCCTGGGCAGCTGGGGGGAYGTGTAGCTCTGTTGAAACAACCAGAATGTTAAATATAAATATTCATTTTTGGTCAATAATTGAAACAGGAAGGTGCTAGCTGCACAAAATTAGAAAAAAAAAATCGCTATTTTTTAATATTAGTTGTACTAACTTGGGCCAGGAAGGTGCTAGTCATAAAATTATATGTTTATGTTCACAATAAGTTTACAATTACTGTTACTTTTTCTTATAAATTGCCCCACAAGACATCCATACAGTCATTATTTGTACCTGCTTCATCCTTTTCATATCATGGGTTCACTGGTGCCCATATCCACTGCAAGGGGTGGGGTACACCCTGGACAGATCGCAAGTCAGGGCCACATTGAGATAAACAACCAGTCACTCTCTCACTCACAGCTAGAGACACCAATTAACCTAACAATTGTGTTTTTGGTCTGTGGGAGGAAACGGAGAGAACCCACGCATGCATGGAGAGAACATGCAAACTCTGAAAGGTCCCCAGGTCGGGATTTGATCCGGCGACCTTCTGAAAGGCATCAGCTCTAACAACTGAGCCACTGTGCCGCCCCACAAGACATTTCAACCTAACTATGGTTTTTTTGCCCATCTCTGGCCACCCAGGAACCTACCTCTATATCCAAAAATCCGCCAATCACAGTTTGGACAAACTCCACCTACACAGACAAAAAAAAAAAAAAAAAAAAAAAAAAACTTCCCATATGCACTGCAGAGACCCCTACTTGGAATATCTGGTAATCAATGAGGAATCAAATATAATGTAAACATATTTAAAAGTTTTTTTGGTTAAATTCAAAGTGATCTGTTTGCGTCTAACTTTACACTGTAATATGCTTGAAACAAACAAACAAAAACACATATTTTATATATCCTTCTAAAATAACCACATGTACAATGGTTTTCAGACAACATTTCTTTAATACAAAGTCAACATATCTACATACACAGTGGCTTTAAACCAATTATTGATTCTGTTTGAAGTAACAGTTTGAAAGTGATAGCACTTGGCCCTTTATATAAAGGAAAAAATGGTTTTGCTGAGTTTGGGTTCTTTTCACTTGTCGATATGTACTGCAGCTGTTTTATTCTTTTTAATGGGACTTCTTTTATTTTCAGTGTTGTCCTTTTGTTACATCCCAACCTGCTCTCCAATATTAGTGGCTGTTTTACAAAAAAAAAAAAAAAAAAAAAAAAAAAAAAAAAAAAAAAAAAAAAAAA